CTTGGGGGGCTGTGTGGGGGGCTGGGGAGGAGCCGCGTGGGGCCTTGGGGGGCTGGGTGGGGGGCTGGGGAGGAGCCGCGTGGGGCCTTGGGGGGCTGGGTGGGGGGCTGGGGAGCAGCCGCGCGGGACCTCACCTGCGCCACCAGCCGCTGGTTCTCGCCGAGCCAGGCCTCCCGCATGCCGGCCTTGTGGTCGAAGCGCTGGGCCAGCAGCTCCAGCTTCTCCTGCCGGATGAGCTCGTTGCGCAGCGACACCTCCCGCTCGTGCTCCACCTTCTCCAGCCGGGCCCAGGCCTGGGGGCAGTGTGGGGCTCAGAGGGGCCGGGGGTCGTCCCTGGGGCCCGGGGGGCAGCCGGGGCCGGGTTCTTCGCGCTCTGGGGGCCTGGGCTGGCCCAGGGGGCGGCTCGTGGGCACCGTCCTGCCCAGACCTCGCGAGGGGCCCCGCTCCCACGGGACAGGCCCGTCGCCACTGGCAACGGACCCACAGGCCCCGAAGTCCCAGTGGACGCAGACAGGGCCTGGTGCAGGGCACCAGTGGGGGACAGACCACAGGGGGGTGGGTCTGTTTGAACCCCCTGACCGCTCTGCATGGCCCCATCCCCCCAGGGCTCCCCTGCACGGCCCCGTCCCCCCACAGCTCCTCCCCCCAGGGTCCCCCCTCAGCTCCCTGCCCCGCGGCTGCACCTTGTTGATGTCCGCGATGCCCCGGCCCTCGCTGGGCACGTAGAGTTTGCGGCCCTGGGCCCGCAGTTTGCTCTGGATGCTGAACAGCAGGACCTCCAGGTTCCCCTTCTCCTGGAATCTGCCGAGGGAACCGGGCCAGGCATTACGCCCCCCCGGCCATGGTCCCCCCCCGCCATCGCTCCCCCCACCCACAGCTCGTCACAGCCAGGCCCCCGCCACCCTGGCCACGGCTGCACCCTTCCTCCCCGCGAGGGCGCTGAGTGGGACGGGCTCTTCCCGGGGCCTGCTCTGCCCAGGGGGATTTCTGAGGGGGGCCGGGGGGCACCTCGTGCCCGGACGCCCCAGGAAAGTCTCAGCCCAAGGACTCCTGCAGCCGGCTGGGTGTGGAGACTCCACTTCCAAACCCACGTCCACACCACAGCTCCAGGTTGGCTGCACCGGTTAGAATGTGGGGGGGAACCACCCGCCTGTGCAGCGCCCCCCCCGCCCGGCTCCCACGCCATCGCCCCGCGCATCGTGGGCAGCTGCTCACTTGACCGGCTTCTCCAGGGTGCAGAAGGTGGTGAAGGCCTGGAGCTGCTGCTGCACCCCGGCCAGGGAGTTGGCGAACTTCTGGTTGCTGATGATGCCGACGGTGCGCTCGATCCACGCCAGCAGCTCGGCTGCCAGCAGCTCGTACCGCTCCATGAGCTTCTCGATCTCCACCGCCTGGTCCAGCACCTGTGGGGAGGCGGGGCGAGGTCATCGCAGGAGTAAACGGGCCCAGCGGTGGGCCCCGGGGAGCCCCGTCTGCTGGGGACGCCGTCTCTGCGTCCCGGTGCGGCCAGGCGAGGCAGGGCGGGACGGTCACTCGGCTCTCCTGGGCTAACGGTGCTTTACCTAGCCACGTCCCGCTGCACCACTTTCATCGCACCAGCAGAGACCCAGGCGTGATCTAGTCTAGTCTAGGTCGGTTCTCCCACGCCCTTCACCGGAGCGGCCGGGCCCTGGTACCGCCTCTGCCTGCGGGTGGTAACCCTGGGTCTGGGTCTGTGCAGCGCCTGGCACAGCGGGGCCCTGGCTATGGCTGGGGTGCGACAGCAACACGAATTATAACAAAGCAAACGAGATCAGGACCCTGTCGCGCCAGGTGCTGCCCAGACCCCAGCCGAGATCAGGGCCCCGTCGCGCCAGGTGCTGCACAGACACAGACCGAGATCAGGGCCCCGTCGTGCCGGGCGCTGCAGAGACACAGACCGAGATCAGGGCCCCGTCGCGCCAGGCACTGCACAGACACAGACCGAGATCAGGGCCCCGTCGCGCCAGGCTCTGCACAGACACAGACCGAGATCAGGGCCCCGTCGCGCCAGGCACTGCACAGACCCCAGCCGAGATCAGGGCCCCGTCGTGCCGGGCGCTGCACAGACCCCAGCCGAGATCAGGGCCCCGTCGTGCCGGGCGCTGCACAGACCCCCGCCGAGATCAGGGCCCCGTCGTGCCGGGCGCTGCACAGACACAGAGTGCCCCAACGAACTCACAGACAAGACAGGCGGGGGGGGGGGGGGCGGTATTTCCCAATGCACACGGTCCCGCTTTCCCTTCCCTTGTGCGTGGCTGAAGCTCCCTGTGAAAACCCACCAGGCCCCTCCACCCTCCTTGGAATCTCTCCGCCTTTCGCCCCCGGCTGCGGTGCCTATGAAACAGGACGACGCGCCTGAGTCTGCAGAGACCCTGTTGCTGGGAGCCCCCTCTTGGATCTGACCCCCCCACCTCCAATCTGCCCTGAGTGTGAGCGACGGAGCGACGCTGCCTGGGTCTGCAGGGAGCCTGCGCCCGTCGCTGTGGGGGGGGAGCTGCCCTGAGTGTGAGTGACGGAGCGACGCTGCCTGGGTCTGCAGAGAGCCTGCGCCCGTCGCTGGGGGGGCGGAGCTGCCCTGAGCGTGAGCGACGCTGCCTGGGTTTGCCTGGGTTTGCAGGGAGCCTGCCAGTTCAGACAGCCTGGGCGCGGTGTGGTGCCCCCCCCCCACAGCGTCTCTCCGTAGCCTCGCGGTCCTTTGCCGCGGCAGCCCTGTGCCGGGGCAGCTGGAGCCGGGGGCTGCTGCAGAGGAACGGCTCAGATGGGCGTAGAAGAGCAGCGGGCAGGACCCAGCTGTCAGCAGCGATCTCGTCAGCAAGGCACCTGGGGGCGGGGGGAGACCAGCGAGTGCTGCTCACGGCCACGGGCACCACCCCGAGAGCGTCCCCTGCTGTCCACCGAGAACCGAAGGAGCTGTGCCCGCCGGGCTTTGCTGGGCCAGACAACACCCTGCCTGCCAGCCACTAGAGGCTCTTCCGGGGTCAGCTCGCACCGTTATACCCTCCCCAGGTAATAAATTAAACCACCAGCAGGGGGCTCCAGACACAATTCAACCCAGCCCCCTGCACGGTCATTTGCACTACTGCCACATGCAGGGGGGGCCTCTCTGACTCGGCCGCATTTCACACTTGCTTTGCACTAGTGTAAATGGCCGCACGAGGGGAGCTGGGCCCATTACGGGCACCGGCAGCTCCTGGGTAGGCTCGGGGTCAAACCAAAGTAACTCAGCGGAAGGGAGCATAGGGCAGATAGAGGCACAGGAAACGTAAACCCCGTGTCTACAGGCTCCAGGGGTCATGTGACTACAGCACAGCTCAGCTGCCAGACGTCGGTCCCATAAAACATACGCCCTCACCCACCTTCTCTCTCTTAAACACCAGCAGGTTTCCAGCTCACAGTCGGGAAGAAAAGCTCAAAAAGTGACCTGAGTGTGAGCAAACCATCCCCTCCATCTCAACATGCTGTTAACTCCCAGCCCCACTGCTCCGGGACACAGCGGGGCCCCGATCTCGGGTCTGCCCGGCACAAGAGGGGGTCCCAATCTCAGCTGTCTCCTTACCCTCTACCACGATACGACGCAGCAGTGCGCCAGGAGCTGCACACGCCTGTACCCCCGTGCCAAACCGAGGGCGTTACTGCAGATTAGGGACTGGCCCTTGTTAACATCCAATGAGGAATCGCGGTCACCCTGCAAACAGGTTGGCACACTCTGCGGTCCCCAGCAGGTAACCGGCGAGACCAGCGCCCCTGGCAGCCACCCCCAAGGCACCCACCTTCCCAATCCTCTTCCCCTCCACTGCGAGGGCCTTCATTTTGGAGAAGTAGTGGTAGAAAGAGACAACGTAGGTGATGATGGACTTCTCGTCCGGGTTCTCCATGTTCACGTCTGCCAGGGGAGAGAATGGCACCACTCAGCAGAGACGTCAGATCCGCCGGCCAAGCACCCGATATCAGCGCGAGTGACTTCGCTGGCACCTGTTCCTGCAGCTCCGAGCACCTCGCCACCTGGACTGTATTTACCCCCCCCGGCTAGTCTCCCTGGGTCACAGGTGGGGAACCGAGGCCCCAGGAGGCCACGTTATTATTATTAGGTGTATTACGGGCGCACCCAGGTGTCCCAGCCATGCACCCGGTCCCCATCGTGCTAGGTGCTGTACAAACACAGCCCCTTCCCCAGACAGCCCCCAATCTGGATGTAAGACAAGTGACAAGAGGCCGACGGGGGAGCACAGGGCATGACCCGATACCAGCCAGCATGGAGAGCGGGGCTCTCAGCCACCCGGCACCAGCTGCTGTAGGGCTCAGAGTGTGACCAGACCCTGAGCAGAGGGGAAGGGACTTGGCCAGTCACTCAGATGGTCTCCGACCCCCCACTGCTGTTCCACCCCAGAGGTGGCTGCACCGTGAGACATGGAGTTACCTTCCGGGTCCAGCAGCTTGGTCAGGCCCAGCTGCTGCTCGGCCAAGTTGAAGGCCTGCTGCAGGTTGTACATAGCGTTGGACTTGGTGAGTTTGCTGAAGTCGATGATCTCTGGCCTGGGAATTCAACACGACACTTGACAGACCTTCGGTGGGACGGGCCCCCTGGCTTAGAGCCATTTCTCCTGACCCACCCCCCCAACCACCAGCCCCCACTCCCCTCCCAGAGCTGGGGAGAGAACCCAGGAGTCCTGGCTCGCCCCCCCCCCCGCTCTAACCACTAGACCCCACTCCCTTTCCAGAGCCAGAGATAGAACCCAGGAGTCCTGGCTCCCAGCCCCCCCTGCT